TCTCTCTCTCTCTCTCTCTCTCTCTCTCTCTCTCTCTCTCTCTGTCTGTCTGTCTGTCTTTCTTTCTTTCTTTCTTTCTTTCTTTCTTTCTTTCTTTCTTTCTTTCTTTCTTTCTTTCTTTCTTTCTTTCTTTCTCCCCGCCCCTCCGTTTGTCTCGCTGCAGGCCTCCAGGTCCTCCGGGGCAAAGATGCAGCTGCTGGAAACCGAATTTTCCCAGTCGGTCCGTGAGCTGATCGACCTCCACCTGCTCCGCCAGGACAGCATCCCGGCCTTCCTCAGTGCCGTCACTCTCGACCTCTTCAGCCGCCAGACCGTGGCTTAGACTCCGTCCACGGCTGGGCTTTGGCCTTTGCCGTTGGTTTTATGACCCCCACAGAGTGTGCATGGCTCTTGGGTGTTACCGAAACATTGTGAATAAACAAACATGTATTGCATTTAATAAACAATTAATAAACAAGCAATACGAGCAACAGGGTCTCCGGTGCTTTTCTCGTGGCTGATGCACGGAGAGTCGTATCCGCTTGTTGGATCTCTGGGCCCGTGGCAGCCCAGCAGTGGGAGTGGAGAAAGGCCCGGAAGGAACACAGACATGGCGGCCTGTTCTCACCCCTGGCCCGTTCCTGCGCTGCGTGATGCTTCTTGAAGGCCGAGGATCTGCGAGGAATATCACCTGCTTAGACACACCTTTAAAAAGAGGGAATAGGCCAGGTGGGCACCATGTGGCCCTCCAGATGCGTTGGGCTACAGCGTCCCTCTGCCTTGGCCATCGTAGCCGGCGGAGCTGTAGGCCAAGCATCTGTGGAGGCCCCCTGTGGCCCAGTCCTGCAACAGGGAGCCAGGTGGCTGCTGAGGTTCTGCCCCAAGATCCCGGCTGAACCTTGCCAAGCATCGTGGCTCTCGCGTTCCAGCCCAGCTTGGAATCGGAGAAAGGACAAAGGCCGAGACGTTTCCCCTGATCCTTCAGGAATTTGAACATCCAAGCCCTTCCTGCTCACCCCCTTTTTTCTTCTGATCCAATGCCACTCGAGTGTCTTCTTTCGCTCCTGACTTCTCAGATGGTCCCTGAAATCCCAGGAGCGGTTCTGTCCCCGCTATGCATCCCGCCCAGGGGAGGCATCGGGATTTGCATCCACCCCTCTGCAAAGCACGGAGCCGCAGCTTTTGCTCACGCTCTTCCATCAGTTTTGAAGGGGCTGTGGCAGGGTTTGTTTTTTAACAACCAAAATAGTCTATCGTGTCAAGATGGTTTAGGGGATTTTGCAAATACGGTGTCACTCGTGCCTTGATGTTGTGTGAGCATCGTTTCCAGGAGCCGCCGCTTCGCCTCTTCCGCAGCACTGCAGCGCCGGGAACGATAAGGGATGATGGATGATGGTGCTCAGACTGATATTACCACACAAAGAGAAGGGCGCCTTCCTCACCAGCAAGGCTGTCGTTTTTCTTAGCGGCATCTTATTAGGGGCAAAGACGAAGCAAACATGTCCCGTGATTCCACTGAGCCTTCCATTGGCCGCCCTGTGTGGAAAAGCGATGCAAAGCAGAGCTAAACACTGTTGTCCGCAACTTAATCCAAGACTCAGTAATAGTTTTATTCTTTGCTTCTTTGTTTGTTGAAAGAAATCTTGTTTGGCCCCTCAATTAAAAAGGCAAGCAACTGCTCTTTAGAAGGCCAGATGCTGAAGATGAAGCTCAAATGCTTTGGCCACCTGATGAGAAGGAAGGACTCCCTGGAGAAGAGCCTGATGCTGGGAACAATTGACGGCAAAAGAAGGAGGGGACGGCAGAGGATGAGGTGGCTGGATGGAGCCACGGAAGCAGTCGGCGTGAGCTTGGGTGGACTCCGAGGACGGTGGAGGACAGGAGGGCCTGGAGGAGTGTTGTCCATGGGGTCACGATGGGTTGGATGCAACTTTGCGAGCAGCAACAACAACAAATGAGCTGAGTTTCAGAGAGGTGAGGTCACAAAAGGCTTCTGGTAACATCCCACAAAGGTCTTCAGGGCTGGTGATGAAGGACAACCTGCTGGAAAGGTGGTCTGAGTGACCACTTTGTGCGGATGGAAGTCCTCTCCATGGCAGCGGGGTGGGGTGTCCGCATGTCCACATGCAGTGCAGTGGATTAAAGCCTTTTTTAGGATCCTAGTCACAGATAACGATAAATCTCACTCTGGGGGTTCCCGTCAGGGTTTGAGGATGCTCAGATGGTGGACAAAGGCTAGGACAAAGGAATCAGAACAGAGCAGCCTCAGGAGAGAGGCCGGCCTGACGCGTGGAGGAGACCTCTTCCAAGCAGCAGCGGCAGAAGGAGCCTTCTCAGACACGCACGCACATCCAGAACTCAGCCCTGGTCTCAGTTTGCCAGCACCCTGTCTGATCAGTGGAAGCGATATCTCTGCAAAGACCCTTCTCTCTCATCCAAGGAGAACCCACTTAGAAACACAGAAACAGAGCGAGTCGGAAGGGGCCTCCCGGGCCATCTAGTCTGACCCCCGGCTCCAGCCGGCTCTTGTTGAAGGAAGCCAGCTTCATTCTTTATCTCAGGCCCAGCTCTAGAACACATGGATCAGGGCCTTGGTGTCCAAGCAGATTGGCTCCACCAACAGAGATGCAGAAGACGGGGGCGACATTCCACCGCTAGAGGATCCAGTTTGGAAATTCATGACATCAGGAACAGCCTCCTCTCCCATCCCAGCAACGATCCAGAGGAGAAGCTGCAACTTGGGGGTGCTGAGCGACGACATGGTCCAAAGTTTGGCCATAGCTCTTCTGTCCAAGAACAATATCTTGGATGAACAAGCAGAAGTTCTTGGGCCTCGTGGAGAGAGTCTCACATCCATGGTCTTTGGAGCTTCTGTGGAAAAGCCACAAATTCGTCCTGAGTCTCAGTGGGGGCAGCAGAAGGAAAGGCTCTTCTGCTGGTGGTCCTGCCCCCACCCCAACCCCGGACGGCCCTCCCAGGGGAACCTCCGCAGGGCCCACGGCGCTAGCTTTTAGCACCGGCCTGCATCTTTCCTGTTCTCCCGGGCTTTAAAAATATTTAAAAACATGTTAAAACTATTCTAGCAAATATATTTAGGAGGTTTTGCCTCCCATTCGCAGCACTGTGTTTTAGGCCTTGCTGACCCATTTATTAGTTTTATATTGTGGATTTTATTGTGATTTTATCTGCAGTATTACTTTTCTGAAATGCCTAGAGAAATTGAATGAATAAATAAATAAAACAGCCTGTTAAAGTCAGACCTTTTCCACCAGGGAACCATCTCACACGGAGATCTGGCCGTTCTGAGGAGACGGTGAATACGGTCCTGAAATGACATGGCGGGTGTGAAGAGGGAGACGGACACCCTCCTGTCTTCCGACTAGGACACATCATGGCACACCCAGATCTTCCCTTTTGTGGTGCCAGCGTGCAGAAAGACACCTCAGGGCCCGGCCGAGCCTCAATTCCAGCAAGACCGCCGAATATCCAGCCGGAACCCAATGTATTATGCGAAAACCTTGCAGTCCAACAGAAGTAATCTGAGGAACCTTTCCCTAGGGGCTTACCCACTCTTTAAGAGGTTCCTGAGCACAGTCCCTCAGGGAGAGACTCAGTGGGGAGCTGGCACCTGCAAAGAGCCTATTTATTTCAGCTCCCGGCTTCTTATTTAGGGCTCCAAGCGGAGAAACCCAAAATGGGGCCCCTGTCCTGATCAAGCCAGTCGTTTTCTGTCGCTCTGCAATGGGCCATCCTGGTGTCCTAACTACAGGACTCCAGAAAGGGCTGCTTTATTTTGTTCTCCTTCCTTTCCTTTGCATTCTTCTACTTCTGCCAGGCCTCCTTTCTCAGGCGTAAGCACCTGGGGACTCTGGGGTAAGCACTGCCCCCTCCTACACCCTGCCTCTCTGTTCCAGGGGAGACTCTTCCCCACCGCTTCCCCGAGTACGGAAATCTGCTGTCGAGCACAGAATTTCTGCGTCCAGTTCAAAGCCCAGGGCCCCTGCTTCTTGCTGGCGAATTCGCTTTGAGCTAATGCTCTCCTAGGGAATGCAGCCTCTTCGCTTGAGGTCAGGAACAGCCACGTGGCTACAGGGGTATGAAGAAAAGGAAGGGTCTGCTCCGCACCTCTCCTTTCAAGAAGGGGCCATGCGCTCCGTGGCAGCGCTGGGCAGCCTGAGCGGCAGCGTTCTTGGCGTCGTGGCCGACGGCAGACGGTCCCCCCTCCCTCCTCCTCTCTCCTGCTCTGGGTTGCTTCGAGCCCCGGTGTGAAGATGGATTGCCTGCACACTGTGCCGAGGGAGCGCGCCTGATTCTGATGCAGGGCGCGGCAGCCAGAGCCGACTTCATAAGTCGGGGGAAAATGAATCGTGACGTCAGCCTCTCGTGGTTCCTCAGCCGACACAACGACAAAGCTGCAGCTGCCGCTGCAAGACGGTTCCACCTGCTTCTTGTGGGAGAACAAAGTAATTAAAAAATTTGCAAGAAAGCCGCTATCTTGACTAAACAGAGGTAGCGGGGAGCAGGCGGCTGTAAGCAAAGTTGGAAATCGACAGAGAGCCTCCTACCTCTCGGGCCGCGGATGCCCAAAAGTTAAACTGGCGATGAACCGGATGCAGGAAGCACAGCAAGAGGATTTTTCCGCTCAGGTGCATGGTCCGCATTGGCCAAACTTCCACCGTTTACTCGCAGGGTGAGCTTTTTGGCTCCGTGCCCACCCTCTTCTTACTTTGGTGATGGGATCACGGCTGCACACGCACTCCCATGCCTCGGGTCGGTGGTCTGAGTGGTGCAGAGTCCGCATGAGCCCGGAGGCCCCCGGGAGTTCTGCGCACTGCTTCTTGGGGGCACGTTCCCTTTCATGACTGCCCCCTCCTGCTCATGCTGGGTCATCATTAAGCCCTGAGCACAAGCTCTCGAGGGGTTTAGCAAAAGCGCCCTGTCGCAATATCGATAGCACAAGCGGAGAACAGCCCCAGTCTCCTGTTTCCAGGGCATCCCAAGAAAGAGGACGTCTGGACAGATGTTCTTGGAAATGCACCCTTCTTGGAAATCTTCTCTTATCAGTGATGAGCTAAAGTCAAGGCTGAGCATAGGAACTCTGTCTCTGTGCGGGATCAGACCCACACCCTGTGAATACGTCCCAGAATGACGAACCAGGTTCCTCCCAAGGAACACGGGAGGTGAAGTCAGTGGTCTCCTGATGTCTCTCACCAGCAATGGACATGAAGGAGCATGGATCGTTTCCCTGAACATGGAGGCTTTGTTAGGCCAACGGGGCTAGCAGCCCCCACAAGCCTTTTGTCCTCCTCCTGCACGGGTTTGCATAATTCCAGTTTAAAGACATCTGCTCTCGTGGCCGTCACACCAACTGTGGCGCCAAATCCCATGAAGACATCTTGCAGGGTAAAGAATGCCCCTCTGCCCGGAGGCTGCTGCCCATGGGTTTCATCTGAAAGAAGTAGAAAGGGAGAACAGGTTTGTCCTTCGCCTT